GTAGTTTGATAATTGAATATTTAATTAACTGTGATTATTCAAAAAATACAAATACTTAGTTTAAAATTATGTTTTATAATCCATAACAATCGATTCCTGTTTGAGATCAATGTTAGATCATCATTGGAAACCTAAAAGTACTGGAAGGCCTTCCTGGTAAGGGATTCGTCAGCAATGCGCCCTCACAAACCCAGGACCTTCGGTTTCGAACCTCTAGACCACTGAACCAGTATCCATCAGTGCTCATGTCCAACTTCGATTTATCCACGATAGTGCACGATCATCTTCACTTGTGTTCAGTGTGTAACTACCTCAAACTGGACATTGTTGTACTCCACTAGTCACGGCCTCTCACTGGAACTCTAAAAATTCTCTTTCGAATCTAGTCACCAGTGAGCACACGATAATTACCAGTTCGTGGTTGGGTTTCATTGAAACCATGAACTGATCATTTCAAGACCACCATTACAACTCTTTAAAATGGTAGAATCTTAGAGTATCTGTGAGATAATGCACAAACTCTAGATACAAAAAGGTATTTGTTCTATCTTTGTCAATACCTTGTTCTTAACGTATTATTATTGTTTTCATTCTCTAGACTTAAAGTATTATGTTTGAAAATATCCAACCATTCTTTGATTATTTTCCGTGTCCCAGTGATTTTCTCACTTGTCATTGTCCCATTTATAAACATATGTCAATTGGATTTTGAGACTTTTAAAACTAAACCTTAATCATAATGGAGTGTCAATTAGAAATGAGTATGACGTTTAAACTAATGTAAAGTATTATCTACGGAACGTAAATGACCAGTTTACATGTCGAAAACACTATTAGATACTTAAGACTAAGGTTAAAAATAGAATATAGGCTTTATAATTAACATATAGAGTTTAAGATTGAAACACATATACACAAGTTACGAAAACTAACTTCAGTAATTAATTATAATGCAAAATCTTCAACCTTATTCTTAATTATAGTCAACACTTCAGTCTTAATCCTAACCCCAACACTAATTCCTAAACTTTGCATCTTAATTCTAAGTTCTAACCTAAGATACTAAATTCTGATCATAAAGAGATTGGGGAACTTGCTATTATTTATCTGTAGTTAGAATTAAGTACCAATTTTAATCGTGATAAATGCGTCATAAAAAACTGCCGTTCTCTGTACTGGCTGTAGTGAAATCATTATCATTTATTTCAAAAGAAAATTATAACACTTGTAATTAGTCATTATATCTAACAAAGTTCACTTTAACAAACTTTGATCCTACAACAATGGTATAAATTGAGATCATGAACCGGTTGATGTTAGACCACTATTGAAATCCCGCGAGCGGGATCGTGGATGAGCACGGTTGAGGAGTTCCACAAGGGGACGAAACGACCGTCCAGTGCTTCCAGGTTTTCAATGGTGGTCTAACATCAATCGGTTCATAATCTCAATCCAAAACTTGATAATCTCCACAACCCCTATACTGATAACAATGGTATGGTTAGCTTGACTTGAATTCAATTATTATGTGAAAGGTTTGGGGTTTTTGCAGCTTTCACTCACTGATTTATAAAAATCACTAATTACCAATTTTTTGGACTGAATTACTATAAAATACCGCCGAATATTATATTATTAAAATATGGATAAAACGTGGGATTCAACCAGCCTAACAGATCAATCAGAAACACTTGAAATTTAACAAAAAGAGCATATTATGAGGAATCTATGAAATCTATTTATGGAACGTTTGCTGTATATTCATAGTCCAGTTGTTATAAGCTTTTATTCAACCTATTTACTACTATTATACGATTTACTATTATCAAGTTATTCCCAATCTATTAGTAACAGCATCTCACAAACACAGCCAGTTCAGGTTTGATTCTTGTATAATTGATTTTTTTTTATCTTATGGTATGATGAGGTCTAATTTGTTTGTATATAAACTGCGTGTGTTTGAAATACATGATTGATTCATAGTGAGAGCTGATATCGGTATTCTGGACTCAACAGGCAGGGCTAAACGAGAAGGATCAGTAAGAACTGTAGGCTGATAATACCGGTCACTACGTCATAGGTTCCTTCGGAAGCCACGAGGTCGATGCCCCTTCTGACAACCAGAGCAACCATTTAGTTAGGTACATGGAATGCTCGTACGGTGTGGGAGACCGGAAGTCTCCCAAATTGCTGCAGAATAGGCCACAAGTCATAACAGCGACCTAGGAAACTAAAAAATACCTGTAGCTTCTCCATCCATTTATTTACTGTAAAGCAAATCTTTTAACTTTTGGTGTGAATAAATGACATTACATTTATTTTCCATTAGAGATATCCTAGTTAGCAAAGTATTTTAGTTTGATCTTTGTTAACAGTATAATCAACTTTTAATTACACTGATAATCACACCCTTATTTAATATAATTTTTGTTTGAAATACACTTTAGTATAGATTGAAATCAACTACAAAACTCGGGGAATTCATAGACAAGGTTAGCAGTTTGTAAATTCTTAACACGTAATCAAATCCACCAGCGAATTCGGCACCTTTAGACAGCTTAACCGGAATCCAAGTTTAACTACAGTCAGCGATATTGCATAAAATTCAATCATTACCGCCAGTAATATACTTTTTTTACTCTTGACAAGAATTAATTTCAGAAGAAACTCTTAATAATTAGTTTTGTTATCTATCTATTTATTTTCATGCACTGATCTAAGAATCATGATGACGAAAGTCTCAATGTCTTCAAGTACTTGTACGAGCCAAGATGATCTTTAATTCAGTGTACCGGAAATGATCCATTTCGAATGGAATTTTCATTAGAAGTAAGCTTTTATTGTATGATAGTAAAATAAGTTCATTCTAATCACAATTGATTGGTCACTGGGTGGTGATCAATCTCATGCTTGTCTAGTCCTTATTAGTACAGATCGAATGCTATCGATCATGTTGCAATGTGGCCACCAGTCTAGGTGACTCGACACTGCGGGTACTATGTATTGAGATTAGATGGTGGTTGGAGGTAGTCAACAGGAAACCCTGGACCCGGGTTTCGTGCCACTTGGCACTCGTCAGTAAGGTGTACCTGTAATGTTGAGGGAACTGGTGCTCCCTGGCGGATTCGATCTCGTGTCACCCAGCTTCACAGTCAGAGACGTTACCACTGAGCTATCCGAGCCGTGACTGGTGGCCACATTGCATCATGATCGATAGCATTCGATCTGCACTAATAAGGACTAGACAAGCATGACATTGATCACCACCCAGTGATCAATTAATTGTGATTACATCTCAGTCCTACAGGAGGTCAGTCACGGCTCGGATAGCTCAGTGGTAACGTCTCTGACTGTGAAGCTGGGTGACACGAGATCGAATCCGCTAGGGAGCACCAGTTCCCTCAACATTACAGGTACACCTTGCTGACGAGTGCCAAGTGGCACGAAACCCAGGTCCAGGGTTTCCTGTTGACTACCTCCAACCACCATCTAATCTCAAGTTCATTCTAGTCTATCCTCGAAGATTTAATCACCAAATGAAGTTTGTCCCGTACAAAGCTCTTCATATCGTGGATACCAGCTGAACAAGTCAGTCAGTCAATCATAAACGATGTAGAACCGGGTACATATATGAATTGATTCAGATTGTTATGCTACATTAGTATGAAATTGTCAAAACAAATGCCAGAAATAATAACAGTAGCGAACATTATACACAGAAAATACGATTTGAAAAGTACGAATTTGTGGGATAAAAGCTGTAAGATAAGTCCCTATATCAAGATCTCAGGAAAGATAGAGAATGGATGCATCTGAGCCATTGCGACCGATTTTGAACCATGTTATCCAACGTCTTCAATTAACAGTAACGATAATCGCGTGAATCACAAGCAGGTAGCTTCCATCTATCAACATGGCTTAGATTAACAGCTGATGACTTCATGGATTGATACGACATCCAGGTTCTTTTTAACTTACTTCTAAACTAGCAGATATCATGCGTCAGATTATACACTGAACAGGGATACATAATACATATTTCAACCATCTCAGTCTATGAAGACTCACTGTCTTATCAAGTTATTTGTCATTTTTATTAAGTACTCTCTGTCTAAATTCAGAAATACTCACTGGTTGATATTACATTTCGAAACCTGCACAAAATAAATCAAAGTTTCGATCTTGATTCTGATCAGTGGGAAAAATCAAAATTCATCAAACTATTTGAAATGTACTAAAAGATTATATTTCATTCAAATGAAAACATAATGACCACAAATTAATTACAATTTAAGTAAAAAGCACAATGTAACTGAGCTGGATAACATGAACAAAAAAAAGCTTCTCTATTCAAATAACAAACTAAGAGTCACATATACATAAATAGTCAAGTGAAAACTACCCATTGTAAAAATGAAAAGAATAAAATTTATTAAAAAGAAAACTACATTTTTCTAAGGAGATTGCCTTTTTAATTAAAATTCTATAACAGTATTTGGCTGTAAAACACAAACAAGTACATAATCATCATTAGCAACATTAAGAAACTATCAACTATACATACACATATACCCTGTACTTGTGGGTAGACAAGTAGTAATAGGTGTTAGAATATTGCTATTATCATTGTTTCCAACTTTGTTTACTTTTTATTGACGAACTGATTGGTAAAGTATCAAAAAGAATCATCGTTTCCATGTGTGGTTGATTTGAATTTCAATTGTGGACTATGCTTCGATTGTTCAGTGCGAATAAATAAAACTGAGTGCGTGCGTGTGTGTTGTTTTTTTTATTTTCAAAAAAAATACATATATACAAAGTGTAAAATATGAAGAAAATGAAGATAGAAAACAAATAAAGAAGCATAAGGCAAAAACGGTTATCTTCATCAATTAATATTATTTATTTATCATGAGAATATTTATCTACGAATCAATAGACAAAGGATCTAGCAGGCGTCATAATCAGTAGATCGTAGTTATTCACAAAGAATGATGTATCTAAAACGTCTTGTGAAGTGAACAAACTTTATTATTATCATAATTATTAGGCATACAACCGTTGAAATATTGTAATATAGTTGTTAGAGAAGCATTTGTTTCACCTGGATGATCTAATGTAGGCGGTTGTATTGAACTAGCTAATGGCCAAGCAATTGTTTTCTCATTGATTAATACTTTGACACGAAATTTATCCAGATCATTATCAGAATCTTCTTGGAAAAAAAACAACAACAATCAAAGTGAAATCGAATCAATTATTCATTTATTATTCAATGGAAGTAATAAGTTAGTTACTAGTAATAATTTGTATAATTAGTAGTATGTAACAGTATAATTTATCAGTTCATACGGCTTTGACTAAACTATAATAAGGAATTTCAGTCTAAATCGTGACTTTTCTCACTTAATTATTATTTAAAATAATACATTTATGTATTAAGCCGAAGGGAATGAACTAATAGGATATTATGACTGGATAGTAAATCAAGTATAGTAGTATATAAAAAAAACCTGTTTTGATTATACAAATATAACTGATTAGTCACTCAATTAGGACCAATAGTATGTTTGCCTAGTCTTTAACATAAATCAAACTCAGTAGATCATGTTGATAAACTAATCGAAGAAACTTAATATCACATGAATTATGTTGAGATGTTAGGTAATGAAACTGTTTGGACAAGGCTTCGAATCTATCAGTGAGAACTAATTTCTAAAAGATTTCAGGCAAGCCTTGATTATAAGTGCAAACTAGTGAGAAACTTAGATCAATTAGATTGTCTTGTCGACTATATTCAACCATCTAGAGAAATAAATCAACTCTTAAGAATATATTTACACATGTATATGTTGATTGGTCGTGAGTACAATAATTCTTAGAAAATACAATTTTGTTATGTCGCAACAAGAATAATGAATGGTAACTTTGGGATCCATTTATGGACCAATACTAAACTTATATTTCTATTGTATAATTATTAAGTAACTAAACTATGCATATTCACATTTCTCTTATTATAAGCTTTATTTGACCCATAAACTACTATTATACGTTCTACCATTCTTGAGTTATACCCAGTATATTAATTACTACCTCTCTAATTCACAGCCACATCTGGCTAATTCTTGTACAACTGTTGTTTCATATTTTATTGGTACGTCGTGGTCTGTTTGATTGGTATATAAACTCAGTATGTTTGAAGTATGATGATTCATATCGCACAGGCTCGGATTGGTGTTCTGGACTTAACTGACTGGGCTAGGCAGGAAGCAGGGCTAATCAGGACTCTATGCTGCCCGCACGTGTTTTACGCGTCATTGATCCGATCGATAAGTCATTGCCCTCTAAACGGCGGTCACAAGTTATAACAAATTTCTTTTACACTTTTTTATGCCTTACTCAAAAATAAATAAATTCAACGTGTGCTGTGAATTTTGTGTTGAATTCGCTAATATCTCATCTTGAGTTTTTCATCATAGAGTTTTCAATTTTATTTTCAGGTGATTATATCGTTTTATATCATGTTTTCGTCGTAACACCAGTCTGCTGAAGAAAAATGTTTTCGAATGCTATGTTGTATTGGACATTCTTTTATTTGTTTAGTTACTTACTTACGCCTGTTACTGCCAATGAAGCATGGGCCGCCGATCAGTATTCTCAAACTCACTCTTTCCTGTACCTTCCTATCTAGTTCTATCCAGTTGTTATTCATTCTTTTCATGTCTGTCTACATTTCCCGACGTAATGTGTTCTTTGGTTTTCCTCTTTCCCTTTGGCCCTCAGGATTCCAAGTGAGGGCTTGACTTGTGACGCATTTTGGCGCTTTCCTCAATATGTGTCCTATCCACTTTCAGCGCTTCTTCCTGATTTCTTCCTCCACTGGGACCTAGTTTGTTCTCTCACACAGTAGGTTGTCGCTAATAGTGTCTGGCAAACGGATCCGAAGTATTTTGCGTAGAAAACTGTTAATAAATACTTGTATCTTATGGATGATGGCTCTCCAGGTTTCCGCTCCATACAGTACAACTGTTTTGACATTTGTATTGAAAATTCTCTCTTTGGTGTTGGTCGGCAGTTGTTTGAGTCCCCTATGTTTTCCAATTGCAGATATGCTGCTCATTTTTTGCCGATCCGCGCCTTCACATCTGCATCAGATCCACCGTGTTCATCAATGGTGCTACCCAGATATGTAAAGGCTTTTACATCTTCCAAATCTTCTCCGCAAATGTGATTCCATTTTTGCATGCTGTGTTGCTTCGGAGAATTTTGCTTTTCCCTTTGTGTATATTGGGACCTACTGCTGCTACACTGGTCGTCTTCTCCTGCATTTGTTGTTGCGTGTGCGATAGAAGAGCCAGATATATATATTCTAATTCAATGAAAAATAAAACTGACGGTACAACACGACTTCAATAAAACTTAATGTCATAATGACATTGTATGAGTTTATGAATATAATCAAGGAAATTTAAAAAGGTAGTTCCTTGAATGTAATGAATTTGCGCATAGTATTTAGCAGAAATAAAAATCAATGTGAGGAATAATGGAAATTAAAGAAATAATAATAATAATAAATATGCTGATTTATTGTAAAAATTCCAACACTCGACCATTTAAAGGATAGAACTCAAGATCTTTAGGGTTTATTTCGGTGTATAAATGAAATTAGGTATGTGAGGTGTGAGAGAAATAACATTGATTTTTCAGACCAGATATGAGGCATTTGTTCTTTATGAAAGGATTAAATTTCTATTAACTTGGATATATATCAGGTGATTAATTAGTTATATGTAAAACATAGGAAGACAAATTATATTTACTTGAAATGATTCGTTGACACTGGATATACTAAATAACGAGTAATATATCACAAACACTTCTGATTAATATGATCAGTAAAAGAAAAGTGTTTGAGTGAATAACAAATTGTCTTATTATTACATATACAGACTGAATGGTTAAGACTTGTAATGCAATTTATTCCAAGTTCATTATGTAACTGGGTTCGAACCACACATTTGTCCAATGAGACTGCCATACTACTTAGACTGAAGTAGATTGGTTAGGGTATAAGACCTGGGACGAATGCGTAGAGGAAACAAACAAGAGCGTGGATTTCATTCCAATCGTAATATAAGTCGAAATGTAAGAAATATAGTTCAAAAGAAGCAAACGAAATAGAAGAATGAGAAGTCAGAAATAAAACTGTACTCGAACATCTGTATGGTAATAGGCAATGAATGTGAGTGTGGCTAATTTTCAAAACATACTACCCAACGTTTCCAACCAACTACGCTTGTAGTAGTAGTTAATAATTCCATAGATTGGCTACCCTTAGACTGTGCTGGTTTCCAACTCACTCTTCTTGCGACAGCGATCATTGTACGTTGACATAGGCGTTAGTTAGAAATGCGTAAAGTATGTCCTAAACATCTCAAACGATCAAAATATAACTCCGCATCACTCGACCTGGCAATTTCATTTGATACTCTAAGCCAAACCAATATAATTAAATTGGTGGTTACGGTAAATGCGAGTAATAGTCTAAAGATACATATAATTCATACTTGCGGTCTATTCACGCCTTTACTTTTAAACTCAATAAACTGAAGTATCATGCAATACTACTGAAAACGAAAAAATGATTGCTCAGACATCAGAAATATTAATAAAAAACATAAAATTGAGAAAAGCCAACAACGACTTCAACACACCTAAATCAGGACAGTAATATAATAGAAAAGCCACATTGCCAGCAAATGGTGCTATATAACTTGTGCGAAACATTGTAGGCGATGGAACATCTGTATCATAGATCATTCTTAATCTTTCATCAAAGCTATCTGCTGTTAACTTGTGTAAAGTCGAATGACCAATCGAGTTATTGAATATACCTAAAGCAGCGACAATAGGTAGAATAGTTTCTGCATGCCCGAACCAAAAACTTCCACGATGTAATGTTGGATTATTTCTACACAAATTACGAAATGTAAAATAATGGATAGATAGATAGATGGATCCGGTAGGAACGTTTTCATGATAAGAGACATAAAATTAAACAGGATATAAACACACTAAAAAGGTATAGATCTCCACTACCTGTACCCCACCCCCCAATAAATTGATTCAAGGTAGTAATCTTAACAATCTCAACCCAACTCACTGACCCAGCACTATTTCGTGTTTATCGTTTACTAACACTGATCATACAACAATTATTATTACTACTACTACTGCTATTTCGGGACAGAACTAAGGTTCAGTGACGAACGACCTTGAGAGTTTTACTTATTTTAACTAATCAGAAGACAGTATATATATAACTGCTCTAGTTTAAGGTTGGGATTGGGCACTAATCATAAAATCCAAATTCCAATCTTAAATAGTAAATCTAATCCTAAATCGCAAACTTTAAATCCTAATCTTGAAGCCTAAATTTTAACCTTAATATTTTATTTGTTAAGAACATTTACATATGAAAATTAAAAGGTCAACTGGACAGGTTAAGGGTGTCATAACAAAGGGAAAATAATAAAGTACACAAAAACCTTAAGGTTAAGGTTTATTGAAGCCTTGGCTATACGGAAATTGAGACCCCCTTTATGTGTTCGAAAACAATTTGTCCTTACACTTAACCTACCCTGGTAATACTGACTTATTATCCAGAGTGGTAATCACATTTACTTTTGTGTACTTTATTATTTTTCCTCTGTTATGACTTACCCTTAACCTGTCTAGTTGACCCTTTAATTTCCATATATAAATGTTCTTAACAAGTTGTTTTATTTATCAAAAACTAGCCATATTTTAGTTGGTACTGAATATCATGCTATGACAAGTCCCATATTAGATCAGTTTATCTCACATGACATTCTTGGTTCCCATTAATTCGGTGGCATACTTTACGTTTATCTTCTATATTGATCTTGATAATTTCATTTTACAGTGTCGATGTGTTGTGGCAAATTAAACTGATGTACATTTGTGCCAGTTTCTACGTTCTTATGGTTGACAATTTTATTTACTTTAAAATGAGTTATGATTTTGTATAAAGACTAATGATATCATATCCAGATGCTTAAACCAAACATTTTTCTAGAAAACAGTGTATTACCATCAATAAACAATTCTTCATATGATAATCATTTAAGCGGTATTTGTGTAATTTGTTCAACTCACCAAAATCAGTGTTTTTCGAACCATCTCAAGCATTAAATAACTATAATCATCATCATCATATTCAGACGTATACTGTTTGGTTTCAGAATTACTTACAGTGTTTTAACCAAATGTATTTTACTGGAAAGAAACAGAAATTTTGTGATCATATAGGGAGTTTGATTAGATGTGACATTATTGTGTTGAATATGCGTCTATGTTGTACTATTGTCCTAATATCATAATCTAGTGCAAAGAAATTATTCATATGTCTGAACAGTGTGGTCTAGGTTGCATGTACTTACAAACTGTTGGGGTGACCCAGAAAATTTCTCGCAAAAGTCAAGCAAGGATCAGGAAAATACTAAGAAGCGTTTCCTCCAATCAGCGTTCACTTGAAGTTTTAGCCAGAAATATCAAGGGGGTAAAACGTCAAATGCAGAGGTTCTGATTGCTACACTGCTACTATGTTTAGTAGCAATCCAGAATCTTCTAACAACCCAAGGACATTTAAGATGTTATAAAAACCCTGTATTTTCTTTATTGAAATGAACCTTGGACTAAGGTACTTCTCACATACTTTGCGTCTTCTCTCTCGTTGTATAGTTCTACCTTGGGGGTTACAGAATAGCTTAGGAAACGAATAAAGCGTTCAATTCGCAACACATCACATACAAACACACCAACAATAAAAATGTTCGTCAACACATGAGTGACATCTTTATATAATAAAACTTACTGACTATAGTTGTTTTTCTGAAAATTTATAGCTACATTATAAATTTGTTGTATTATTTCACCAAGTAAAGGACATGATTGTTCATAATTCAATTCATAACCGTACGATTTACGCCAATAATGCTGAAATAAAAAAGTACATGATTTAACTACCGAAAGGAAAAATGTCACTATTGAAAGAAGACTCTGAAAAAGAAATTGAAAAGTTCAACAGTTTTATCAGTAAATATAACAATCAAGATTTACGATATACATATTGTTATATCTAGAGCTTAGATTCTTCATATACTGCGTATAACTTGAGCACTAGACACTAGAACACTCCCAAGTCGCAAATGAGAAGACAGAAGACAAGTGAAAGGAATGTTATTCCAAATAGTGTCAATTATGACGCAAAACAGTCAGGTATTTATAGTTTTTAGTAAAAACGAAATCATCGCTATAGTCCTCCAATCTTTATACAGGGAGTTATTAGCATTTGTCCAGTAGGGAAGATCCACATAGGGATTCTGGAATATTCTATCAAAAAGTGATTGGATGGAATATCTTCAGCTCTTTCTGAGCTTCTTAGGGTTTCCTCGAGTTCACCCGTTGACTGTCCTCACACATATACACTAGGCAATATCAAGAGTTTAATTTTACAGAACACTTAAGGAATAATAAACAAAAACTCGAATTTTAATTATGAATCAATAACAAGTGGATAGAGCCGTTTAAAACTAATCGCCATTGAGGAAATATTTCATCCCAGTTCAGGATTCCTCAGTAATGCACCTCCTATTACTTTCATAGGGAAATGAGTCTATAGCTGCTGCCCATTGTACTACAAGATATCCGAATTTAACAATTTTTAGCTGAAATCAACTAACACAATCAACGTAGATTTGTTCGTAATTGGAATCTTAGTTATCATCAACATTGACGCTGGCAAAAAATATGCATTAGCCCAAGTTCCCACATAAAAGTTGCACGATCAATAACACAAGAATTGAGATAATGAGAAGTTATGTACAAAAGAATACTGGAACTCAAGATGTAAAGTAACATTATTATAAGTTACAGAAGTCAGTTTGGATCCAAAACTAGAATAGTTAATTTCCCATACATTAAAAAAAAATCTATTTTGTATTGGTTATTTAAATCTTCCCATTGATGTTTAGGACTGCAATTGATCAGTTTTTTATTGGCATATGTGCATCCTATGTGGATAGCCTCGATATTGCCTTAAGTCACAAGTATTATAAGAGACTAGTCAACTGCAGTCCTCACCATCAATGGGAAGATTCAAACAACCAATACAAAAATGAATTGAACTTTACCCGATTGCACAAGCTAGTGGCTATCTGAACTCACTAGCTAAGTGGATAACTCGATGGCATTTGACGTGAACGGTACTGAGTGGACATCAACTCTCGTATGCAAGTACATCCAGCTGACGGATCCCAAATAGGGCGAAACGAGTGTCTTGGATTCCACTGCTAGCTACCACCCATCTCTATCTCTTTAAAAAATTTTGTTGATAGGCACTGGCAAGTCCAAAAACGATATTCAATCTTTAATCTTAAGTTGAATACAATGTTATTCACAACTCACTTCTTTTGGATGTTATACTGAAAGTTTTAGACATAATAAAATAAGGAGAAACACTGAAAACAAATGACCGATAGATATTTATTTTTAAAATGGGATTACCTTTAAATCTGCTAAATACTCCCATACTGGATAATCATAAGGTGTTAATAGACTGCACCAAGGTGATAGATCGTCATAATCATCCATTGCAGCAACTTCATACGCACAAGCCAAAAATATTATTTTTAAATCATCTATGAACAGAAAGAAGCAAACACCATGATGACGTAACTAATTTGCAGAACAAATGTTCATGTTTTCTGGTCTCTCAAAACGAAGAAAAAGGAAAGGGAATGCAATAGGCGTCGTAATGGCTGAAGATACAGAGTTTTAACCACTAAGCAACTGGCTTCATGCTCTTACACTTAGACTTATAGTCTGTAGCCCTCATAGAGGGTTACTGCCGGCCACAAATCCAGACAAAGGAGGGTTTGTCATAGAGTTAGCAAAATAGAAAACAACCTTACTTAAAACGATTTCCCTTCTAACAACCAGAGCAACAGTTTTTATGGGTACATGGGAGACCGAGAGGACTAATCAAATAGGTACCGAAGTAGGGAGATACAACTTGACCGTCGTCAGAAATCTACTGGACCCAAGCTAGATAAAAGAGATTAGATTCGGAAGAGTTGTTTTAGTTGTTCCAGTCACGAAGAAAAAAGTGCTCCGCACACACAAGGAGTTGATCTGATGCTATCCAGAGAAGCACGAAAAGGAATCACAATGAATGTCATCCAGTTTTATGCACCCGCTAATGACAGCATTGACTACGATAACGATCAGCTGTATGACAGCCTCTGATCAATCATAGCGAAGGATCTAAAAATCCTGATAGGACACCTAAACGCCAAAATTGAAATGGACAACACCGAGTGTGAAGATATCATTGGACGACATGGACTGAGAGAAAGGAATGAGAATGGCGACAGATTTCCAAATTTGTGCGCATTCAACAAAATGCTTATAGGCAGCACAATATTCCCACACAAACACATACACAAAGTTACATGGGTCCCACCGGATCACACCACGGAGAACAAGATAGATCATATTTGTATTAATAATAATTTCAGAAGGACAATGAAAGACGTGAGAACCGCCACCTGGTAGTTGCCAAGATAAAACAGAAATAAAAAAGCACTGGACGACTAGAAAAACGGCATCACAAAGGTTCATTTCAGCCTTCCTTCGACATACTGACAAACCTAACGAATTCAAGGTAGCTCTCAACAACAGGTTCCAAGCGTTACAACATCTATTCGAAAAAGAAGAAACCACTATATAAGACAACTGGAAAAGGATCAAAGAAACACCATCTTCAACGTGCCAGGAGGAGCTGGACCGCAAGAAGCATCGTCATAAGGAGTGGATCTGTCAAAACCTTCCACAAGATTCAAGAAAAAAACGAGAAGACGGTGATCAACAACAGCCGAACAAGAACAGAGAAAGTCAAGGCGCAAACTGAATACACAGAAGCAAACAAGCAAGTGAAGGGGAACATTAGAGCTGACAAGTAGAAATAGGTGGAAGAGCAACAACAGTGGAAAAAGCTGCAAGAAAATGAAATATGAAACAGCTATATGACACGACGAAGAAATTGGCAGGGAAATATAGTAAACCAGAGAGACCAGTCAAGGACAAAGAAGACAAACCAATCACTGAGATTCAAGAACAGAGGAAAAGATGGGTAGAGCACTTTGAAGAATTCTCGAATAAGCCCGCTCCACTGAATCCACTAGACATCGAAGCAGCACCTACAGACCTTCCTATAGATATCACCCTACCAACGATTGAAGAAATCAACATGGTCAGCAGGACCTGAAAACATACCAGCCGAAGCACTGAAGTCAGACATAGAGGTAACGCCGAAGATGCTCCACGTTTCGTTCAGACAGATATGGGAGGAAGAACAAATGCCAACAGACAGGAAAGAAGAGTAACTCATCAAGATACCAAAAAAGATCTCATTAAGTGCGAGAACTTCAAGGGCATCGCACTACCATCAGTACCAGGAAAAAAAGACACTTCAGATCATTGTTAACAAAAAGTTGAATGGAACTCGTCACTATACGTCAGCTTCCACGATAATGAGAAAGTACTTGACAGTACGGATAGGATAACCTCATGGAACGCTCTTCGACACTATGGTGTACCTGAGAGGATCGTCAACACCATACGGAATTCATACGAAGGACTACACTGCAAAGTCGTGTATGGAGGACAGCCTACAGATGCGTTCCAAGTGAATAGCGGTGTTAGACAAACCTTCTTACTCTTATTATTTCTTCCACATCTCAGAGGAAGCACGGAATACAGTGAACAACTTGTATGCAACTAAAAGATCAAGACCTCGCAGATGACCAACAAATGCAGGTGAAGACAGCCAGTGTAGCAGCAATAGGCCTCAACATACACAAGGGAGAAAGCAAGATCCTGAAACATAGCACAGTGAACATCAACCCAGTCACATTTGATGGAGAAGTTCTGAAAGAGGTAAAAACATTTACGTACCTGAGAAGCATCATCGATGAACAAGGAGGATCTGATTCAGATGTAAAGACAAGGACAATACATTCCTACAGTTGAAGAACAGATAGAACTCGAAACATCTGTCGGGCTACATCAAAGTCAGAATTTTCAATACGAAAGTCAAGGTAGTTCTACTGCACGGAGCTGAAACTTGGAGAACTACTACAAACAACTATCTACACAAGATACTCAATGTCCGGATATCATTAGCAACAGCCTACTGTGGGAGAGAACAAGCCAGCTTCCAGCTGAAGAGGAAATTAGGGAAAGACGCTAGGGGTGGGTAGGAAGTATTTATATTGCATTATGAAGTAAGCCATAACTCGGAATTCCGAAGGAAAAAAGGAAAGAGGAGGACCAAAGGACACATTGCGTTGGGAATCGGATGCAGACATCAAAGGGATGAAGATCACTTGGAAAAAACTATAAAGGCGAGGGTTGATTGGGGAGTCCCTGTCAGAGGCTCCACTAAGGGTAACGGACATAAGTACATTATTTCGGAAATGAGGATTTATTCTGAAAATAAATTGATTCAAGCAAAGTAGTTAACTAAGTCTTTAAGTTGGATCATATTCTCTAAGCTTAGTGTTTTTTTACCGCCACTGATACTAACACTTTAGTATTCGATTTGCTAATTCTATCTCATGGTGCTGACGTTGTATGGGAGCTTGAATCAGTGAACATATACACTAGGGTTCTACATTGTTTATGATTGACTAATTTTGCGTCATATTTTGTTAAAAGAAACACATGTTGATAGACAGATTGAATAATGCAGAACTCATAACAAAAGTGCATTGATTAGAGAATTAATTTTGTACAATAATCTAAAGTGGATAATCATTGGAAAGTTTCACAAAACCAAAAATGAATATCCAATAGTTGAGTGTTTTACTAGTTCTCGTTATGTTCTTAAAAAATACAACTTTGTGATAGACAAATCTTTAATGATGAGGAATGACTAGATGGATTATACTGAGAATCATATACGACAATGATTTTTCCCCAATTATCTGTGACATGTATTCACATATTGAGGAAGAGCAATTACATAACTGTGTCAATTATTTATATTTGTTGGTTATAGATGTTTAATTGTGTAATGTATGTGTTCTGTTATATCTCGATGAGAATAATGAATGGTAACTGTTGTGATCTATTTATGGACTAGTACTATACCTACACTTTTTATTGTATAACTGTTAAGTAATTAAACTATATTTACTCATATTCCTCTTACTATAAGATTTATTTTGAACTATAAACTATTATTATACGATTGACAGTTCTTGAGTTATGCCCAGTCTATTAATTACAATCTCCCACATTTACAGTGACTTATGGCTAGATCTTGTACAAATGTTATTTTTTATTTTATGGTACGACGTGATCTGTTTTGTTCCTATATAAACCCAGTATGTTTGAAATACATGATTCAAATGGTAAAAGCTGAGATTGGTATTCTGAACTTAACAGGCAGGGGTAGGGTAGGCAGGAAGAAGGACCGATAAAGACCCAAGAATGCTCGTACGGGTTTTATGCGTCATTGATCCGGTCGATAAGTCACTGTTTTCTAATTGGTGGTATCATTACGTTATATATTAATAGAACACAAAGCCATAAGTTATAACATATACTATGTGACGAATAGGTTGTTAGAGCTAACCTGGTCAATAACTTGTATTCTTAAACATGTTTCTAACTAAAATGTTGTACAGATTTAAATCTTTTAAAAAAGAATCCCATTTACTTCCAGGTAGTTTATCTACTTAGTTTAGGAGTATATGTGTACAGTTATCACTTTCCTTTCCTTTTTTTGAAACTAAATTGTTGAAATACTTTGTGTTGAGCATTCGATATTGTACCAGGAATATAATATTGAATAAAGCCATTAATAATAATAATGAACTGACAGCAGCTATAATGTAGAAATGATCTGTACCCATGTGGATGAATGAATTGCAACCAAAAATCCAAGAGGTATCATTTGGTCAGTTCGCCCATAGAATATAGTGGTAATAGGTTAAGACTTATTTCAGGATTATGGGTTTACAATTAGAGTTTAGGTTTAGTCCCGACCGTTGTTGCTACCTTGACGTGGTGGTCGGGCTTGCCTATCGTGATGAAGCAACCGAGCTATACTGGCTGGAACAACCGTTCCTCAAGGTCCTACCATATCACACAGGTCGGCTGAAGAGCGGTAATACAAAAAGCAACAAACCCATGGTCCGAAGGCGAAGTCGTACTGCTGACTGCACAGAGGTATGACAGCAGTAGGGTGTTCCCTTCAGACAACCAGCATGACAGCGATGCTGCCTTCCCAAAAGGAGAAGTGGGGTCAGAAAAGGTCGACCCTAAAAATGCACACCTCGCCTTATCCCACGGATATCCATCTCCGGCGGTAAGATCTCAACGAGTACGGAGCTAACAGAAAAATTACCCATAAAAAGGTCGTGTGTGACCGACCTCAAGCAGTTGTCCCTTGGGCACTGCGTTCACGCTCCCAGGTCAAAAAGATCACCTGTAATCCAATTTCCTTTTCAGGTGCCCGGGAAGTGATAACCGCCCTCATACCTCTAACAGCACTCATGACCACTGACTTAGGTTTAGTATCAATTTCCATGTAATATATACAATCTACAGAGATATGATTAAGCATTTGATGTGCGTAGTTTCCTGCTAACTACCTCCAACCATCATCTTATCTCAACATAGTGCACGATGCAATGTCCAATCACCTAGGCTAGTGGCTACATTGTAATTTAATCGATAGGATTTGATCTGCACTAACAAGGACCAGATATACATAGTAACATTAATCACCATTCAATGATCAATCAATTAATTAATGATTAATATAATAAAATAATCAATCTAACTTACCAAATGTATAATTTTCACGTTTTAAATTAAATCGTTTAATAAAATTTTCATAAGAATTAATAATATAATTTGAATTAAGAAATTGATAATATTCTTGAATAGCTGATTTATTCTTTTCAATGTTTTCAATATAATTTTTACAATCAGCAAAAAATCTTAATAAATAATTATTAATTGTTATATTCTTCTTTATGTAATGATTATTATTATTGATTTCTGATAATTGATTATTGAGTAAACAACTATTTGGTATTTCATCATTACCACAATATAATGTACGATTCCATATAGGTTTTATAGTTGGTCCATTAATAAACTAGTGGAATAGTGAATTTTACAAATCCAAATATTAAACAAAGTATATATATATATATATATATATATATATATATATATATATATATATATATATAGTATTAAATAGAAAATAACAAACGAATCCTTTAGGGTGATTAGTAAGCAGCCAAACTCCAGTCTTCTGAAGTTTGCTGAAGCCATTGCCATCAAGCATCAAAAACTTGACCTATGTGTTCAAAAGGAGACGGTTGTTAATCTTTCCTTGCCTTGGTGACAAATATTCTTTCGCTGCATCTTAAAAAATTTTTTCTTTCGTATTTATTACATCATTGATTTTATTTTATTTTATTCTTCAACTATCTTTCAGATTAATAATTTTTCAACTGAACTCTACTCACTATATTCCTATCAATGTTTACCCATTCTGTCATCACTTGTTTCTGACCGTTTGAACTGTTTTTACTGTCAATGTTGTAGAAATTTTTTTTGTATAAGGTATATATTTACAATATTCAGTCTGTTAAATTCATTTACACCCTTGCTATACTATACGAATATGTCTTCAATATAACTTCCAGTCAAACTCTTTCATGTAAGTAATTTAAAACCATTATGTAATTATGATTTTTTTTAATATCACAGGTTGTAAGCAGCTGACGAGAACCTACGAAATAAAAATGAATTCATGCTATTCTGCTAGAATGTTTGTTCTTGCTCTTTTCAACAAACGAATGAATGCTGTTTTAAATTAGATTGATAACTATCTGAACTCAATAGCTAAGTGGATAGCATGTTAGTGTTTGAAGCAAAATGGTATTGGGGTTTCAAATTCAAAAGTGAAAATCAACTTTGGTATGCGAGTACATCTAGTTGACGAGTATCAAATAGGATAAAACATTCGTCATGGATTTCATTGCTAACCACATTTTAACGATTCTAATAGAAACTTGATTAGTTAAGGTTATTCGTAACATTTTCAATGTTCATTAAATGTGTTATATCCAGTACTTTCAACAATTCTTTAGTGAATGAGTGTTAAATCCTGAAAATTAAAGATTTCACTCTAAGTATTTGAAATCGTACATAACTATTTGTTATGACTATATCACTGTAGTGTAGCTCGGTATAACAAATAGAAAAAAACAACGTAAATATCGCGGAAGTTATGGCCTGAAGAGATATGTCTAGTGAAAATTACGCCATAATATACAATGCTAACTCATCAAAATGGACGAAAGTGCTAAATACAACATATGGAACATTGAAAACGTAGCAAATAATCTCGGCTATTAGATTATCATATGTTATATCCAAGCGAAAATTAAATCAAGAGTAACTTCTGAGACATATTAATTGACTAATATTATTTATACATTCTAATGGTATAACTATTCAATAATTAGATTATGTATATTTATATTCCTCTTATTATAAGCTTTATTTTGATCTATAATTTATTATTGTACGGTTTACGGTTCTTAAGCTATGTTCAGTTTATTGACTATTGCCTCCAACGTTCACAGCCACTTTTTGGCTTTATTATGTGCAAATGTTACTTGCTATTTTATGGTGCGTTGTGGTCTGTTTGGTTGATATATAAACCCAGTATGTCTGAAATAAATGATTCGATTCGATTCGCATATTGGAAGCTGGTATTTGCTGTTCTGGACTCAAGTGGACGGACTAGGCGGACATGGGACCAATAAGGACACTAGACTGCCCATACCGCTCGAACATGGTTGGTTTTGGCGCAGTGTGAAGATTGCATGAGTCGTAATTTGATTGATGGATAAATCGCGTGATAAGAAGCCGGACATAAAACCATAACATAGTAATGGGGATTTATGCAACTAATAACAAGAACATATTAACATTATGATGACATAAGTTGTTATGATAAAAATCATAATTACTGGATGATAAAATGGACAAATGTTTCAACGTACAACGTATGTCAAAAGCTTAAACAAAATCATTGAAGATATTCATTAAACGTTGCGTGTTAATGAGATGGACGGTGTGAATAATAGATGTTTAAATACTGAAATAGTAGGTGAAAATTAGTGGAATGATATAATAACTCATTTCTGACCATTGAAAGAATAAAGAATTTATGAACATTTTCTGGTTATAAATACTAGACTTGTTGATTCTATTCACTTTAAATTCAGTCACATGTAAAAGTTCGTTGCAAAAATACGAAAGAATATGGTAAATGATCCTGAATGTTGTAATTCTCTAATCACTACATGGCCATGTTATATAAAATGTAAGCAAACAGAGAAGTATAACTGAGATTACGAACCGGCTAATGTTAGAATCCCATTGACGTTAAGCATCCGTTCGAGACCAAAAGTCTTAGGTCCGAGTTCTGTGTGAGGGATCGTGGATGCGCGCTGATAAGGAGTCCCATACAAAAACGAAACCGGAGTCTACTGCCTCCAAGTTTTCAACTGTAGTCTAACATTGATCGGTCCATGAATTCAATAAAGACCTGACAATCTCCACTAGTCTATATTGATAGAGAAGTATTATTCTGATTACTGGAGTTAATGAAAAAAATATGCAGTAATTACTCACACCGTTATAAAATGCTCTCCCACTTGCAATACAACGATCAATGGAACTCGAGTAGAAATCAACATTTTCAATTGTAAAATTGAAATGTTGTCGCATGAGATTAAAAAAACGTCTGCCTAAACCATCATGTTCTTGAAATCCTCTAGGTAAAAGTTCTTTTGCAGCAGCATTTTTAAAAGGTATTGGATGTGTTAGAAGTTTGTAAGGAATTGGTGATCCATTGTTATAACTAAAAGAATTACACATTTGCAAGAATATTAAAAGCTTTATTTATCAACAAAAAAAGACATGAAATTAATCTGATGTAATCACCTACTAAACTTATTTCACTGATAGTAAAAAAAATTTACAGCTTGAATATTAAAAGTAAACAGTTGACGATCATATATGATATGGTCTCAGAACTAATTACACTGGTTCTAGTGAATGAAAATATTAACTTGTTTCTACATGTTAACAGTTCATGTGCAAAACCTACATATATATGCACTAAATTATAGTTGAGTAAGTTTATCTCAATGACTCAGAGATTGAATAAATATTTGATTGATAAAGTTATTTCTTGTATTTACATTCATTGAATACTAAGCAATAACCAATGTTGTGTTTGCCTAGTCCTTAGCGATGATTGAGTTCTATCGATCAGGTTGCGATATGACCACTAGTGCCTTGACCTTGGGTGAACTTGTTGATGCTTGATAGTTAGAAACAATCGATAGAGAACTTTGGACCTGAACTTTTATGCTGGTTGGCACTCGTCAGCAAGGTGTGCCCACAATCTCGAAGGAAATGATGCTCCCTGTGGGGTTTGAATCTATGTTTAGGGTATTCTGTCGACTGTCTTCAACTAACTAACACCAAAAACAATGTATGCGGTGCCGACTCAATCAGATAACTCACATTGCTACAACTTCATTGACAGGACTTGATAGACATTAGACAAAAATGATATTGGTTACTGTTAAGTGATCGATTAATGTCAATGCCTTAAAAGGCCATCATGAATTGATTGAAAATCTCAAAGTACGCAACTTTATATCAGCCTATAGATTTTGATTTGAAATAAAACTTTTAGTTTTCGCACTATTTATTATTATTATTATTATTAGCTTTATTCAATATTATAATTTTGGTACAATATAGAATTCTCAGCGCAAAGTATTTCAACAAGTTTCCGTTTCTTTCTTCTTGGTCGGTCCTGGCGATAAATATTGAGGAATCGCCAGTTAGATGTTAGCACTTCAGTGAATGAACAACTGAATAATGTACATTCTTTTCGTTGTACATTGCCAGCAACCATATTGTCTCTTATTGAGTTTTCTGTAACTTTGACAACGAAAGGTTGTACACTTTTCAGAAACGCAGCAGAATAGGTTATGCGATTAATAAACATAATGATATATTAAAACAAACAACAATAGATAACTTGTTGAAATATCTAGATGGCAGGAACAGGTAGCCCAGATGCTCAAGCAGGCCGCCCTATAACATGGTGCCCCCAAGTGCTCTGGTACGGCCGAGAGTGGGGAGAGTCCGCCCTCCCTATCGAAATGTTCGTACATGGCCACGCGTATATATCCTCTGCCAGGGAAGTCCTACTCATTGGCTTCTCGTGGCGGGGGTGTTGTTTATGGAATTGAGAGGACGAAAAGAGAATGTTCGGCGCTTTAACCGGGTTGGTGGAGATGGAAAGTTTACCTGGAGAAGTTGGAGAACCCTGATTCCAAACAAATGGTGCACATGGGCTCCGAGACTCTAAGAAAAAAAAGCGTATGAACCAATCGTTGGTCACCGGCTACCATCGGACTGCATCTTCTTACGATGCTCCACTGCCTTGCGGACCAGACCTTTAGGTCGAAGGCTCCGGGCGTGGCCCCCTAAGAAAATCACCAGCTTCAGTTTGGGCACTCGGGCAGTGTCACAACCCTCACACATATCAAATGAGATTTGTGTGCCGCATATGTATTTGGTACCTTACTGTACCAATATCTATGTGTTAAAATAAATAAATAAACTATAACATGGACTTTTCATAGGTATAACCAATCAAAAATAACATTAGAGAAGCGGTTTAGCCTTTAAAGAGATCAGTATACTCGGAAAAAGAATGGATCATGAAAAATTCTTAAGATTGTTTATCTAATCCTTATCCAATGAACAAATAACAGTAATTGCCTCCTAAAGCCTCTTCCAAACATTAATTTGAAACTAATTAGCACTGATTACAAGCAACAAAGAAGACATTGACTCACTGGTTGCTAACACCAATCCATTAGTGGATATATATGTTATATCACCTAGACACCCGAGAAAGTCAATAAAAAGATTTAGTTTTCTAAAGCATCAGCTTAATCTATGGTTATGTGTTTGTTCGAAGATGCTCAAGTATGCAACTGGGTACGTGCAAGAAAAATGTACCTGACAAGTTCCTTGAGATTGAATTTGATGCAACTCGGAGTCCTAGTCAGTCAATAAAGAATAACGGTCAATAACTGAGTGATGGTAAATGGACCTCCCAAACAGACTAAAACACAATATAAATTTGATGACGTCACTGGTAGTTGGTTAAAGTTATGTAAGCTTCTAGTTAGCCTCGAAATGGTTGAAATCAATGGATGGAGAGTGAAAAGTGATAGTTTTAAATCGATCGACAAGAATTTATCATCTTCCATCCAATGGTTAATTTCAGACACCTTACATCTAATTCTGATGTCTGTTCATAGCCTTCTATGTTAAATATGTTTCCCATGTTTTTGCCTTCTTGTCATTAAGAGACGTATGATGAATAAACGGTAACATTCCGCCTGGGATCCGTTATTTTATCAGTTCGTACCCGTTAAGCAAATTTGTCTACGTACTAAATGTTACTATTTCATTTCAGATACTACATGACTTCACTGCTAGTCAGTTTAACAGTAGTATTTAATGTTACTGGATGTTGATAACTTACTATGCATTACATCACTTTAAAAGCGGGAAGTAACCACTTTACGATGAAACAAATAAATACAATAGACTAACAGTATTTGAAATCAATATCTAGGTCTAGTTTATATACCAACAAAAATGCTGTTACGGATAGTCTATCTCAGAACTTTTTGTGATGATCAAATTGGAATTATGGTGACATAAGAAAATTCAAACATGAGAGAATACTTCAATCTTTTGACACATATTAGTGTTTAGACATTACCTTTCTTTAAGACGTTCGTGTAAATCTGTGAAAGATTTGATTGATTTGGAATCTGGTGCTCTAGTTCCATGTCTGAGTAATACATTAACATGCACCAAGGAGCATCTTTTAAATTGAACAGACACTTTATCTTCATATGATTTCAAACCACAAAAGCGATATGCTGTTTTTGATGATAAGCCCGAAAAAAACGTTTCTGGTTCACGGTTGAAAATACAAAGTAAAAAAGTAGCAATTGCACAGAAGGCTGAAAACAGGGCCCCCATTTGCCAGAGGTCGACTTTTGAAGTATCTGTAAAATAGAAAGGAAAACATATCACCAGGAATTCTACTAATGTATCATTTGTCTTGACAATGTAAGTACATATGCGAACCTTATTTCCACTGGTCAATAGTATTTAAAAGGTGTAGAATTACGTTTTCCTCATTTTTACGAGATAATTTATTTTCGCAAAGTTTATTTTCAAGCCATAACACGAAATCTTGTAGCTTAACATTGTAAATATGGTTTGAACTAAATATCTGATATTATTTTTAGAAATTATTACCTCAGAGTAGTGAGAACTTACTGATATGAAGATATAGTATAGATAGTCAATAACTGGGTTATCATATTAACTTTGAGGAGAAAAGTCAAGGTTCCTTGAGTATTTGCTTAAATAGAATATTTGAACATCATGTGATATTTGAACTCTTTATTACAGTTTGAAACAGCTGGAGGGAAAAATGAAATCCTATTACTAATCGCGTAAAATATAAGTGAATGAACGTTCTATGATAGCAGACGAAAGGATAAAGCAGCCCAGTACTTCATGTAGTAGTTTTATTCAAGTTGTACGAGCATCTGACCAATAAATATTTAGTCACACATTTAGGAAACACTACCTAATGTTGGTTTAGGAATCCATCTGAACATCCGGCTGGCAGTTTTGAACTTTTTGGAGTTTTTTATCAGATCAATTTGAGGCTAATAATATATTCATAGCTAATCTCAAACACTGAAAAAAACGTCGACGGACCAGTTTAATTAATATGGTGGCTAAAATATTAGCCTTAACAACCACTCAATGCGTAACTAGAGCTCATGAAGAGTGAACTCTGGAAAACCAGGCTGGTGTCAGACTTGGATTTGTAGACCAGATATTAATACCGCCAGGTTTTCGAGACACATACCTACTGACTCCCAATAATTTCACGTCCCCACCTTGAGAAAGTTTGGTTCTAGAAACCAATAGATTTTACTGAAGTGGGATCGAAGAGGTATATCAACCTTGTACAGGCTCTCTACTGTCGAATGAGAGCTTGTGTTAAACTGTCTTCGGAATCGATGATGTGACTGTGAAATATGGCCATTAAGAATATAGGATATCTGCAAGTTATTAGTATTTTATCATAGTCGTCTTTAAAGCATTCTTTGTATATTAAGGCACCATCGAATTAACAATTCTGAGGTTAGACACAGAGTGCAAGGTGAGTATGGAGAGTTAATCGATGAGGTAGTGAACCATTATCGACTGATATGGTGACTGGTGTAGGTATATTTCGGAAGGTCAGGGGCGACCAAACCAACACCAGCCCAGCGATTCTTTATGAAGACCGACTGTCGAGTTGAGCTATATGCGTAGATGCAGAATACCTGGCTGTGGCCTGTGTCATTATCATAACCAGTGGTTAGACTTCGAGTGTATTCACTCTCTTCACTTGAATCTGAGGTTTCGAAATTTCCGTAAATTTTATTGTATTCCACCAATCTATATTCTCTTGAATTATATTTGTAATGTCTGATCTTTCCTGCCACTAATAATGACATTAATACGATTGTTACTCTGGTATTTGCCCGGATAATTTTATCTCACTCTACTAAAGAGGTATGACAACCTGGACCGATGTACACAAGTGCCGGGATCTACACTACGTTTGACGGACTGATTGAAAAAAGAAAAACAGCAATTTACTGACATTAGTTTGAGAAAGCTAAAAGAGGTATTTTACCAAACTTATAAGTCTCATAAGTCGGTTGATTATGAAGAGATGCATCTCAGCATTATTTCGATATTATATGGGGAACGTTATCAAATATAAAGTATAGAAAACTCAAAGGCAACAAGTCGCTTCAATGAATAATAATCAAGCTCAATAAAGAGGTAGTGAGGATGGAAAAAGACGTCTAGACATAAAAATCAAAACTGTAAACTTTCACTAAGTTAGAGAATATATAACTTCATTTTTTTATCAATTGGGGTATATAAGTCAGACGAAAAGAGCGTGTTAAAGAATCTGTCTGACACAACGCTTTCGATAGCGTTTAAGTAACTTATTCCCTAAACCTCAATCAGTAAATTTATTGTACTATGGTTAACAAATTGCAGTATTTAAGTAATTTGTTTTAATAAAAACCAATAAATTTATTATCTAACTACAAATTCCATAACACGCACCCTAAAGTTCACAAAATTGGAGGACAAAATGAACTAATTTTCGAAAAACAAAACAGATGGAACACGGAATATAACCTTAACTACTACATATGTAAAAGAAAACAATACTTGAAAGTAATTAATATTATGAAATTTAAGTGTTGTGATGTATTTCGATTCACAAGACGGATAGCATTTTTACAGCGTTCGGAAATAACAACAACGAGTTGATGTAAGTGATACTACAAGATATAAACTAAGGATGACAGTAGTTTGTCAAGTTGTTTTTAATGTAGTGCATCGTTAAAAACTTGTAAGCCTTGTTTTCTACTGAGACAAAAAGTAGGAAGAAAGTTATGCATTTGGAAAAGTAGCCCTAGTTAAGTGAACATACTTTCGTAGACTCACAATTTTGTGAAATGAACAGCATCTTGACCTGGTACTTAAAATTTTCAAGGTCATAATATGTCATTTGAAACAATTAAATGAAGATAAAAAATGTTTACTATATGCATATTCCCGTGTTCAACAAGGGCAGTTTTATCTGAAACAAGTCACATTTTTTCGTCCGCAGTTCGAGGTGTTCACCGTTTTCAGGATTCCATCATGTATGCCGACCCCTGTTACCAAAACATAGTTAACCGCTTGTACAATCAAACCTTATTTATTAATGCATTTATCTAATGTGCAGAACGACTTAATTTTATTGCCATCCGATCTTACTTTCCTTTACCATATCATTCTGAGCCTCAATGTAAAGCGTTTACTAATATTGTAAGATCCGTTTTGAATGTTTTGTGTTTGAATGAAAATCCCTCCATGTATACACTTGCACTTTGTTCCTATTGATTCCCTTAGTTGCACATTGTTAATCTTTCGACTTAATTTGAATTGGTAATATTTTTATTTTTATTATAGTTTTTTTCACGCCTTCATTAAGTTTTTGTGTTTCTTCCCGAACTGCATCTATGTTGCTTTACTTGATACTTGTTCTTGGTGGCAGCTGTATTGATTTGCTCCTCCTTTTGTGCGTGTTATATCCAGTCAGGATAGAATAGCGTTCACTTGTTGTGACTGGTAATTTTTCCCGCATCATTTATCAACTTCTATATTTTTTGTAATTTAAATCTGGCCGATCGAACAATTATTGGTTGAACAGCTGCGTGGCAATATTTGTTTAGGTAACGCTGTACACTTAAATTTATGATGAATTATAGAACCGCTATTTACCCGATTACTTGTTTTGATTTTGACGGGCAAGGGCGCGTGTCTAACCTGCCCGAACGGTTATTCTTCAGTCCAAACCGTAGTTTGAATTCTACAGCTATCATCAATTTCCTTTCACAAAGATAGAGAGCACTTAATCTAAGGAGATCATCTTCATTCATTTATGCGAAGTTTTTATTACATTTTCAACTTGGTTATTGAAGTGCAGCTGTAATGATATGGACATAACTCCTAATTGAAGAATCATTTGCAGAACCCTTTAGTGGTTCAGAGCAGATTTGTGTTACAGAAACACTCCTTCCTAATGAAAGTCAAAGAATAAAGCTATAACCTGAAGACCGGTCGATGTGGAACTTACTCGTCCATGATACGAAAGAGCTAAGACGAGTATGAATATATGGTGCATTTATGGAGCGTAGACTATAAAATAAATCCACAATGGTAAAGTAATTTCCCGTCTTTCTTGTATTAAAAAGGTGAAAAATCTTAGGTGGTTTATATTTGACTTTACATAATACACGTTCACGGTTTATATTTGCTTGGAAAGTATATACTGATCAGAAAGGGCCGAATAATCAAGAAGATTAAAGTTATTTTATGAAATTTTCCGAGTAATACAGCGTTATTCAAGACTATTATAGCTATTTATCTAAGAGCAGTTGGCAACATTTTCATCTAACCGCACACACATTCTACACATTTAATAAAATGACGGTAAAACTAAAGAATTATTGGGATCTTGAACGCCACTATATAATGGTAGGTTCTTCTCAGTTTTTTAACGCGTCTGACCACATGTGCTAGGTGCTATCTTACGCTTGAAACCAGGAGTGACTCTTACTTTTTAGGCACTTTCTTTGTAGGAATATACCGTACCATATGCCTCTCGCTTGTTGCACCATTCCAAATTTTGAGTCCACAAGATGTCAAATGCAGAGGGTGTGTCAAAACCCATCAACAAATACTGTCTTATATACGGTATGTATATTTACTGATAAATTTCTGTGATATTTTTACAGGACTATATAAAAGATCTTATAAAAATTCATTTGTTTTCCTGTTTATCCAACCTGAAGATGGCACAGGTATTCAGTGTTTAACAACGCTTTCACCAGTAACATCTTCTAATATAACTCGTACCCACTAAGAGAAATCAAAAGGCAGAATCGACAAAATCAGAAGTTGTATTTGACGATTGCTAATATATCGGAATTGTCTGATCCAGTCTGGCTAGCGATTGCAGTAGGTGTTGATTACGGCGTTCCCACACGTGATCTGGTGCGGATGCATGATCGAGCGCCTTCAGCTAGGTAAGTCCATTAAAACCTATGGTCAGCATCGAATGTCGAAAACTTACATAGCTATTTATCTCGGGATTTATTTACCGCTACAAACCTTATACAGATAGTTAAGTGACGATCTCATGTCGGACTGTGGTGGCATAGACCCTAACCACTCGATATTTGAAATTGAGCATATAATAACTGGGAAGATTTTGTTCGACAATTTTTCATGAAGAGAAGGTTAGCAATGGGGAACGAGGGGATATTCAATTCAATAAATTGGATGGCAAGATAAGTTCGTTCATATAAGCAAAAAATGGTTAAAATAACGTACAGTTCATCCAAAGCAAAGTATGACATTGAAGAATGACGATTAACCTTTAATGAGAATGAAATAACAGTGTCTCCAGACTACACAACAACTGAAAATATTTACGGTAACCTCTGGGAAATTGGGGAGAATGAGTCAAGGTCATTGCGGAAACACTTTATCGAGACCGTGTCTCCAACGTACAGAGATGGTCGCTCGGCATATTTTAATGCTGTCATTAAACATATTATCCAATCACCAGCCGAAATATGTTCTTCAAACTTTCCTGTAGACAGTAGTACTGGTTTATGCGTACGGTAAGCTAGTACATACAGTTATGTGATTCCTGCGTAAGACCTTATAGATCAAGAGGTCATACAATGGAAAGTTCAAGATATTAGAATCAGTCTACTGTTTTATGGGCATAGGTAAATGCACTCGTATGGGCTCAGGCCCGAATCCTACGGGACAGTTATTGCATTGGCGTGGATGTTTGAGATAAAACAAAACTAGGGATATATCCCACAAGATCAAATAACAAAAAGATTTCTTCTATACAAAAAAGAATTCAGTACTACAATTCTTAGTTCACTAGAAAATAAGTTTTTGACATCGATGCGCATCTGTAGCTCTTCGAAGAAATTCAAGTCTCGTAAACGTCCTCCTAATTGGCCACAAAGCTCTGAATACACCATTTCTTTAGAGCGGCTAATATTAAGCCACAAAAGGTTAGAAGTGCAATTCTATACTCATTGGCATAAAATAGAAAAAATATATATGATTAACTTTCCACCCTCTACTGAATTTGTTTGGTACTACCAAATACAACAACATAGTTGTGAATCAAGAACTTAATGTCCCGGCACTCTTTTGCCGCTCGATAATTGTGGAAAAGACTAAGCACACGGACGCTTCTTCAAAATCCTCGTGATTAACCTCCGGTCCCACAATGTGCATTTTACCGCAAGACTTAGAGTCAACCATAATTTTGACCATTTGGCCGGAATTATTAGTTGAATTTCAATACATCAGCATCTACACCTTTAACTTATCGCTATACTTTTATGTCATAAACTTTTTGCTAGCGCCCGAGCCTCGTGTTACTTCAACAAGCAGTGGTCTCCGTCAGGAAAATTGGGGGTTTACTTTTGATTTTTATTAACAACCATTCAGAAAATCTTTTATCTACTCTAGAGGAGATCAACGAGCGCCTGGAGTTTTCAGCTTTAAAAGGAGTCTATCATACTACACATTTTTAAATACTTAGCCAAAATCAAGGTAGACAACATCTACAGACGTATCGACAATGCACGTCTACGTTCATCTCTCTCTTACCATAGAAAGGTTAGTCGTGTGTAGTGGTAAATAAGGCTGCAATTAAACGCAACTCAATTTCGTAAATGTGTGTTATATGCAAAGGCGTCGTCACACTCCGAATACTTGTGGCATCTTTACATGCATAAAAATCGTTTCCTGAAATCGTGTTACCTGCTATCTAACAAGTTGTTTGTTCACATAAAGGTTGTAATGACGTTCTTGATCATACTTACCTATGTTTTAACTATGATGCTGATAAAGCTGACTTTTCTGCAGTTCGTCAGAAGTTTTCCCGGTTCTACTTTATCAGTTGAAGTGACGGTCGAATCCCTCCTGTTCATAGGTAACCAACTAAGACTGATTGACCTCACAAATACAGTAGTGACAGGAAACAGAGCACATTGCAATTTGTCTCAGGGTTTCAGAGTGTAATTCATCGGGTCCGACTAATTTTTTCCGTGTGTTGATAATTAGTGCATTTATTACGTAGCTTCTTTGGAAGCTCTTCATGAGTACGAAGTACGGTGATATTATTTCTGGGCCTAGTTTTTGTCGAGAAGAGGTTCGTGAATAAAAACTGTCAGGATGAAATCATCGACGGCTTCTATCTCGTCTTCATAGTCTAAGATACATCTCTTTCAAAATTGAAAATGAGACCAGATGAATGGAATCCTGTTGAGCAACCAACATTTAAAAACAATCGCTTCAGCTGCCTGAATACAACTTGTGACTTGATTCTCTTATGGCCGAGTTACTGAATCAATGTGCCTTTTTATCCCGCTTTGTTGAAAAATGGCTGTAAAGGTTTATGGTTTTCGCCATAAAAGGTCACATTTCTAATACAGATGCAAATTCTAAAAAGGTAATCAGTTCTCTATCAATACTTGACAAAGTCCGTAAACGAACGTCCGACACAGACACGTTTTGAAGCTATCAGGTTGAAAGAATTTTTTCGTGTTATTTAATTATCATCCTCCTAACTAAGAGAATTCTTCCGCTTGTGATCTATTTACCCTTTGAATTAAAATCGCTTGCGGCTTTCTATTGTTTTACTGTTCCACATTTTAAAGGCCTGACTCAGTGAATTCCCCTAAGGTCGTGTGTGGTTTTCGTGCTTGCCTATGAATGACCTTTTTGCTTTGCATGAGTCCAAATGGATAGTAAACGTCGAGAAGCTTGTGATGTTCAAATGACATTAGCTAATAAAGGATTTACATTCTCGGCTGAAGAAATAGAGGAAATCATGGAAGTTCTTAGTGGAGTCTCTCTAAAACTTATCATAACTAATGTTCC